CCAAAGATATTTGTAACCCAGCTGAAGCCGGGCAGCAGTGACATCCAAGAGTCTGCTTATCTTGTTGAATGCACCATAGACATGTGGCGCCTCCTGCATGATGGAATGATGATAGATGAACTGACTTGTGTCAATCTCCCTAAGTCTTAAGTCAAAGTTCAGTTGAGGTTCTTTTCATATAATTGTTCTCAAACTGCTAACAACCCAAGATTGTAATCTACTCCCTCTTTGAAAGCATACAGCTTAGCCAATTCATCAGTTCTATCATGCATCTGAAGACCAATGTGAGATGGAATCTATAGCATGTGCACTCTGACTCCACTGTCCACAATCTTCTTATACCTATATCTGGCTTCTGACACAAGCATGCCACAGTTTGTACTTAATGAGTTGAGAGCATTTACGGATGACAGAAAATCAGTTACAATTAAAGTGTCAATCTTGGATACATGGATGCATCCGAGTGTAAGGAGTATGGCAAACAGTTCTGTTTGAAGGGTAGAAGCCCAGTTATTAATGCGTGCTCCAGTGACTTTATGAGGGCATTCACTGTATGACAGCAGCACTACCAGCTGCACCAGTGGACTGGTGAACAGAACCATCAACGTAAATAATTTCCGACAGTGTTCTGTGTGACTAAGTTATCAATACAGCTTAAGGCATCCTGTCTGGCTTCAAGACGAAGCTTTGGTTGTAATTTAAGAAGAGTTCTGGGGGAAAATGGAGGCATGGTAGTTTGGAATGGAGTAATATCCCATGGAGCAGGGAAGTGCCTCTGTTGCCTAACGACATAGATCATGTAGCTGGTTCATGCTGAGGTCGGTTCACCAGTGCTGAGTAAAGTTTGGAGGGCTTCTGTGCAGGGGTTTGAATGGGCTACCTAAGCATATTGACCCCAATGAGGATATTTCTTTCAGTAACACGATCTCTAATGCTTGGAATATTAGGTTCTTTCCGCATATTTAAAATTTTGGCAGTACGAGGGCATCCTAGGATGATCCTCATTGCTTCATTTTGCAGTTTTTCCAGCCCTCCAAGCTTCCAGTCAGACACGAGTGCAAGTAGTGGTGTAGCATAGTCAATTAATGATCTAATATAAGCAAGATACATCATTTTCACAATTTTAACATTAGCTCCATACCTGGGATGAAAACCTGCCACAACTCTAAGTGCTCTCAGCCTTTCTTTGTATTGGAGACAAAGTCTCATTACAAAAGGTCCAAGTAGTGGGACCTCAAAGCCTAGATACCTGTATCTGCTTACATATTCTAGAAGAGACCCATCATGCAACTGGATCTGACGAACTGTGCCTTTCTGTCGAAGAGGACTCCTGTTGAGTATCGCCGTTTTTATCAGTAAAGATTATCAACCCCAGGTCCTGACACGAGGCTAGTACATGATTAACCCTTAAATGGTCCAAACGTATATATACGTTCACTCGCACAGTGCCCCTAATTTTTTGAGAATTTTTTTTATAGGAAAAAAAGAGCATTTGATACCCAGGTGTCCCCAAATTTTTTTCATATGGAACACACTGAGTGCACACACCAATTCTCTCATGTCTAGGCAACTCAGGCATATTGTGCCAATGTTGAATGAATGACAAAGGAAATGTATATATACGTTTGGGGCACTATGCAAGAGAACGTATATATACGTTTGGACCGTTTAAGGGTCAAGAATGTTTTGGGTGTTGGAGAATCCGGTGGTGTGAATCATTATATCAGGAAAACTAAACATATAATGATGGGGCTGGCAAGGCATAGCATTAAGTAAAGCATTAATTAGAATATTGAATAGATTATTATAATCAAAAAGAAGCACTAAACCACAAGGGCTATACAGCAATATTGAATAGAGTGGGACTGAGCACACCCCCGTGGGGTTCCTAATTCAACATTTTTAGTTACACTATGTTCCTGGAACACAGACAACTTTCTATTGGACAGGTAGCCATCCTCCAACATCCACTCTGGAAAGTTCACTAATGATCCTTCCATGCATGAAACCATGCCACCGGGGAGACAAAAATGGCTTAATTCTGTGCATGAGACGATTACGAATCATCCTTTCTAATGTTTTACACGAGCAGCTAGTAAGTGATATTGGGCGAAATGAGTTTTGTTGACTGGGCTTCGGAATGGGAAACGAGGTTGTTGGTCCATGATTTAGGGAGCTCCCCAGTGACATAGCTCATGTTATATAATTTAAGTAAAGGATTACCTGGTACTCGACACAGCAATCTATGTATGTTGCAAGTAATACCATCCTCCCCAAGTGACGTGAAGCTGTTAGTTCTGCATCAAGTTCAAAATTAGTGAAAGGAAAGTTACAGTTATCTTCCTTGCTGAGCATAAAACAAATCAGTCTCTCCCTTGCATCATATTTGTCCATTAATTTCGCCTGTGTGACACTGGGAAGACTGCCATAGCTAGATGTAGCAGTCCAAGCAATGATTAACTCATTCCCACTATATAAGGGATGAAGGTTCGCGATCTGACCAGGTCTGTTACCCTTAATTCTATTAATGTCCCTCCATGCCCGGCTAAGTGGGGTGTGAGCATTGAGACCATAAACAAATTGTTTCCAGTCTGTTTGGCGCAGCTGTGTCATACTCTCCCTGGCAGCAGCAGTTTGAAAGAGGCTCAGCATTTCAGGGGTACGACATACAAGGCGGATCTTACTCCGCACTTTCCTCCCTGGCGTCCGTGTGTGGCTGTTCTTGTTCACTGGTGTCCTGTCGTTGCTCACACTGAGCTGCAGTATGATCATACGCACCACACAAATGACAGGTATGCTGTTGCCCTGTGTATGACACCATCACCTGGCTCTTGAAGTCGTCCAAGATGACGTAGGATGGGATCGGTTGACGTAGTGTCATCTTCAGAGTGAAGGTTCCCTCAGGAATCCCTGCATACAGCCTCTCAGACCACCTTCCCACCGTATGTATTGTGCCGTATTTCTCGAAAGCTGCACGGAGATCTGATTCATCGGCCTCAAAAGGCACATTACGGATTTTCACCCATGTATAATATCGTGACACATCATTGAGCTTCACAGACACTGAATGGTTAACCGTTAAGGTAACATCCTGGTACCTCTCCACCACTGCCTCATAAACACTGGCCTGACAGAACTTCACAAAAATCCTGGACGCTCCATGCACCGCCACACCACATAAGTCCTCACTGGCAATACCATAGGTGTCACGAATAATTGCCGGCAATATCAACGTTGTAGATGGCCTAGACACAGCTCCACGGGTCAATTCGATACACACAGTGTTGACTCTGCGTTTAATAGCCAGCGCCATATTGTGCACACAAGCTGCCACTAGTGCAGTATAGATGGCAGCTGCAGCGCACTTCCTCTCTGCTCAGTGATTCACACACGAAAATGAGAATGGTTTTGTCTTGGCATGATATATAGTTTCTGTTAAAGTTGTTAAACTAACTGCCTTATTTTTTTGTGATTTAATAATGAGTGAGACTTCTATAGGATCTACATATAGAGTATTTGGGTAATTTCTAGTGAGGCAATCTTTCGTCTGAGTATTTGAGTTTGGGATTTTGCTAGCTAGTTTTGATCCTATAGTAGAGAAAAAGACATTAAATTTGTTGGCAGTGTCTGCAGTCTGGATGTTAGGTTAATCTGGTTTCGTTTAGGTAATATCTCTGTTTCTGGACAATTTTCTAGATCCCAAAATTTCAGAGACGATTTTCTAGGTTTTTCATGTCCTCTTCCCCTCAAGGAAGGTTCCTTGATGCTGATGAGGAGCTCTTGATCTAGGGAATTGGATCTGTGCTCCAGTTTCCTGAATTAAACCTGAATACCTTCCACATCCCCCCACAGGCGCTGTATAATCCTACGGGTTTAGCGCTTCCCCTTGATTATAATAATTCACATCCCTTTTTCCAGGTCTTTTTCATATTCCCTTTTATTTCATTAAATCTGCTTGCATAAATCAGTTGTTTAGACTTCCGTATTAGATTAGTAAGTATTGACGTGTATCGTTTTGTCTATGCTTTTGTTATTAGATCCAATCTAAACTGTTTTTCATAATCCATGGGCTGTTTAGTCTCTGTTGTGATGTGCTTTATTTTAATTGGATAATGGCTGTTATATATTTTTTTTAAGAATTTGACATTGATGAATACTGTGGCTGTCTGTTAGCTCTCTCTGCCAGTTAATGTCACGTAATCATGAAATGAAGTTATTTACTGATGACTCGTCATGTAGTCGGAAAGATATCTCACTCGTGCCTTGAGGCAATTTACATAAATTGGTTATGAGAAAGGTGGGGTAATGAGAGAGAGAGGACAGTCAATTCCCATATAAACCTTTCACTGAAAATCTTCATTGACAGCTACGACAGAAGTCAGACACAATAAAACCTCTGACATCCCCAGAGTCTGACTCAACCTGCGTAAAAACTGGTAAAAAACTGGTCTTAAAATCTGGAACTGTCTGCCTCAAGTCTCCAGAGGTTCTTTATCTGCCAGTCGATTCAGAGTTGTTGTTAAAAACCATCTCATCTCCTTAATATAATCTAGGCAGCAATATGCTGTCAAACAAAACCTGTTTTCCTCCAACTCTGTCCCTGTTCTTACAGTCTTTCTTAAACTCCCATACGTAATTGGTAACTTATGTTGTCTTATTATATTTGTATTGTAATCTAAGTAACCTGGTGTATCTTTATCCCTATTAAATTGCCCCATAAAATTGAAGATCATTGAACCGCTTTAAATAACAGGTACCTGCTTTGTAATTATTGGGTTAACACAGGTAATTTACACGTGTTACTATGTCTGATAATATGTATAATTGTATTTATGTGTACATGTTCCTAAATAAATTTACTTATTCACTTACCATTTATCATTAGATACCTTTCTTACTGTTCTTATGATATTAGTTAACTGTCTTACATAATAGGCTATATCTAGTTCTTCAGTAGCATGTCCCCTCAAGGAAGGCTCCTTGATGTTGGTGAGGGGCTCTTGATTTAGGGAATTGGATCTGTGCTCCAGTTCCCCGAATTAAGCCTGAATGCCTTCCACATCCCCCCCCAGGCGCTGTATAATCCTCCGGGTTTAGCGCTTCCCCCTTGATTATAATAATAATAATAATAATTCAGTAGCATGTAAGCATTTTGTTAATTGCCCGAAATGCATTTCATTACTGGTGACTTTATTTTGTGCCTACTATTGTATTAATACAATTATCTACATTATATGCATGCCTCAAATAAATGAACTTTATCATGATCATTATCAAAGGGGAAGCCGAGGCCAGAGTCAACATGAAGGTTCTAACAGCAGGTAGTCAAGTAAACATTACTTGTGTAGTTGTGTTTGAGTGTTGTGTTGTGGTGGTGGTTGTTAAGTAACACTTATTAACCCTCGTATTGTCATTAACAGTCAGGCATCTTTTAAGTTAACACAGTTTAATAACCTTAGAGGCCATCAGTGTGTCCTGGTGTTCATTAATGTTACACTCAGTCTTTGGTACCAGTGTCTGGTATAACTTTATTTACTACAAGTACATGTACAAGGTATACAGGCCTAGCAAACATCAGTGACATACTACTATATAGAAAGCCCCTGGTCATGCAGAGCATTTCGGGCAAATTAGGTCAGTTTTGTCCCAGGATGCGACCCACACCAGTCGACTAACACCCAGGTACCCATTTCACTGATGGGTGAACATAGACAACCGGTGTAAAGAAACGCCCAATGTTTCTACCCTCGCCGGGAATTGAACTCAGACCCTCGCCGTGTGAAGTGAGAGTTTTAGCCACCAGGCCACGGGGCACCAGTTGTCAAACATTGTCCAATGTCAATTCGTCCAGTGTTGCTGAACAAGTTTCCTGGGGTAATATCTTCAAAAGAGAGCTTGATTATGTAAAAAGTAAATTAATGTACGAAAACATATTGAATTCAATTGTAGTAATGCTGTGTGCTATACATGTTAAGATTTTGTTCGGATTTTTAACCCCGGAGGGTTAGCCACTTAGGATAACCCAAGGAAGGCAGTGGGTCTTATTTCCATTGGGGTCCTCAATCTTGTTCCCCAGGATGTGACCCACACCGGTTAACTAACACCCATGTACCTACTTGCTAGGTGAACAGGCCAACAGGTGTAAGGAAATGCGTCTAATGTTTCCACCCTTGCCAGGAATTGAGCCCAGACCCTCAGCGTGTGAAGCAAGAACTTTGCCAACCAGGCCATGGGGCCCCGTGTATTATTTTGTATTGTTACTAGGGATAGAAGAAAAGACTATGTATACATTTACCTATGTAACTATATATATAACACGAAAATACCAATGAAAATAAGTTACATGGTAATCCTATGTTAAGAAAGTAAGTTTTTATTAAGGTACAGGTACACATAAATACATACAGTTATCATACATAGCAGCATGTGTAGATTACCTAGGATAACCCAAAAAAGTAAGACAAAGGTCAATTTCTACATAATATATGTACAGGCCAATATAAGATCATTGTGAAAATTTAAACATGTATGAAACTTAAATAAAAAAAAAAACTTGCTTGTGTAACCATAAACATTTTTAATCTGTACGCTAGCTGCAAACTCAATCACTATAATGAGTGTGTGTAGTACAGGACACTTTTATTTAGGAAATTACAAATAGCTTTACAAGCAGCAGTATAATTTTTTACTGTTCTTCTTTGAGCACAAATGTTACCTTGCTCACACCCCAACAGCTCATTAAGTCCCTTCCAAAAATTTACCTATATTCACTGCTATCTGACACACTCACACATGCCTGCTTGATGTCCAAGCCCTACACATACAAAACCTCCTTTGTGGATGAATGGTTCAGAGAACTGACAACTTGATAAATTATACACACATGCAACACTTGAGTATCTTTATTGAGGAAACGTTTCGCCATGCAGTGGCTTCATCAGTCCATACATTCTTCTGTGTATGGAGTGATGAAGCTACTGTGTGGCGAAATGTTTCCTCAATAAAGATATCCAAGTGTTGCATATGTGTCTAATTTATCAAAACCTCCTTTACCATTTCTCTCCAGCCTTTCCTGCCACCTTCCTTCCACTACAGATTTATACATCCTCCAAGTTATATTTTGCACCATCCTCTCTAAATGTCTAAACCACCTCAACAACCCCTCCTCAGCTCTCTGGATCATACTTTTAGTAATCTAGAAGATAAATTCTGTATGTTGAAAAAATCTTAATTTGTTGTAAAATGTTTAACATCCTAATTAATTTTGTGGTCTATTGTTATCATAATTGCAGGTTTATGCATAGAAACATGTCTCGTATAGTACTCCATAAGCTTAGCTAACTGAGCATGGTGCACAATACCTTTATGGTTTTTGCACATCTCCAGCTTTCCTATAGCCACAAGGCATCATGATGAGAGAAGATAACAGTGTGGATGAGGGAGAGGTGGTGGTAGTTGTGCCAGACAGAACTGTACACATTGATGAGCTTTATCCTGGTGTTAATCATGGTGGAGGAGCAGAGTCGTTGACTCACAAGTTTGAGGTTTGTAATAAATTATATTTTCTTATATACAGTGGACCCCCGCTTAACGATCACCTCCCAGTGCGACCAGTTATGCAAGTGTATTTATGTAAGTGCATTTGTACGTGTACGTTTGGGGGTCTGAAATGGGCTAATCTACTTCACAATATTCCTTATGGGAACAAATTCGGTCAGTACTGGCACCTGAACATACTTCTGCAATGAAAAAATATCGTTAACTGGGGGTCCACTGTATTTTCTTATTTTCTTTTTATATAATTTTTTGTCACTGACCATTTCTTACCCAGACATGGCTGGACATTTTTGAACAAATTGAAGCATAAATATTTAAGTAATCAGCTTTTTATTAAAGCACAGTACTTTGGTATATTTTTACAGTAAATATTTTTATACTAATTCCTTGGAGGATATTCTTGAATGACATTTACAAATTTGACATTATTTTATGTGAAGAGTAAGTGTTATATTGATTGTAAGGTTCCCATTAAGGGGAGTTCTTTGATGGTCAAGGTTGTGTGAAACAAGACATTGAAGGTACCCTCCCATTCCTTAACTCAGACCTGATTGTCTCCCATTCCCCAGGCACTGTATGACCACTATGGGTTTTAGCACTTCCCCATGACTAATAATAATGACATTATTTCAGATAATAGCAGCATGTGTTATGGGACTAAGTACTCTCTCTGGAGGTGTACTGGAAGGGTACACTTCTCCAGCTATACCCACCCTCCTTCAAGAACCATCTTACTACAACCTAACTGATGTTTCTGTGAGCTCAGACATCAGCACCATTAACACCACTGTCAGTCCCAATTTCAGTAACGACACAAAATTCCTTACTAATAATGAAAGCCACCTTTTAAATCAGAATGATTCGGTTGATGGTTTATCTGTTCTAATGAGTGGAGAAACAGAGATGGAGCTACTTATAGATTTGTACCTCACCGAAGAGGTAAGCAAAGACAAGCAAAATCTACTGTAATTGTCAGTGATTAGGAAAGATTTTATGTAATTTGGCTGTTTTAAAATATGCTATTTTCTAATGTAATAATAATGTAAATGTCCTTCCTAATCACTGCTGTATTTCTTAATCACAAACTTATAACACAGCATTAACAGTTCTGCATTTCAGAAATGCCCTTGAATTACCCTTAGACCTTGTGTCATTCATCACTTACTGGACATGGTAGGATAACCCAAAGAAGGAAAATCACCATCACCATTTTGCGGATATTAGTCATTGTTTTGTTAGGACTTTTGTGATTAATAGATTAAAGAAATTAAATTTCATTGAGGCAGGCCTAAGCAAATAAAAGAAAACTCTGGTATAGATACATACTGGTAGATTTTTTTTTATCATGAATGGTTGTATATTTATATTTATTTCTTAACATTGACCTATTTAATTCACATTGGAAATGAAGATTATATACACAGAGAGGTGTGTATGAACATTATACAGACTATATATGTATATGCAGAGTTTAATACCTAAAATGGATTACACTCCACATATTCCTGACTGGCAGAGTACAGGTTATGTGCATCCTTAATAGCCATTATATAGTCATTTGGCTTTAAACCCAGTAAATCAATGACCCCCACTAGAAAATTAACTGGAATGGGAAAGAACGAAGGTGTACCAAAGAGTACAAAAGATAAGATGTGTAAGGATTTATATTTAAGAATTGTAACGGAATATATGTATGTACAGTTATATCTTGGATGCATTATTTTTCCTAAGAAATCAACTGAATTCCTTCCTTTCCCTTCTTTTAATCTTCAGGAAGCATCCTGGCTGGGATCACTACTGTTACTTGGGGCTTGTATTGGGGCTCTCGTTTCTTCGTGGGTAATCAGCCAGGGCAGGAGACGTGCTGTTTTAGCCTCTGCTTTTCCACGCCTGGTTGGTTGGATAATGATTGGTGCTGCTTCTGATGTGTATATGATGTATGGTGGCAGGTATGTAAAAATTCATATTAGGGTCAAAGTTTTAATGATTATTTTTTAATTTAGAGAGATTATAACAGGTAAAATAGTGCCAACATTAGCAATTATTTCAGTAGCTATGACCTAACTACAGTATATGTAAGTGCATGATGCATATGTATGCATGTATGCATTCATATGCCTTATCCAATACATGTGCTTAATTCTCTTTACCATTACTTTATATGTTGCACATATCTGTCACAGTAATTATCCACAAAGTATTTGTCACATGCTTGCATGCACATGCATTAACCAATAAATTTGTTAACTGCGTTATAATAAACTGAATAACTATACTTTTGTTTTTATATGTTGCAGGTTTCTGACTGGGGTGTCATTGGGCATTGTAACATCAGCGGCACCAGTTTACATTAGTGAAATTGCTCACTCGTCTGTCCGTGGTGCTCTCAGTTGTGTAGTCCAACTGGGGGTCAACATAGGCATCTTTACTGTAGCTCTGCTTGGTAATTTTTTATAACACTAGATTTTTTCTGTACAAGTAATTGCAAAATATATTGGAATAGCTTCAGAGCCTTTATTTACAGCAATTTAAGTATGGAATGAAGACTAATGCATTATGTAAGATATTTAATTAGGAGGCATTTTATCCACTGGGGGCTTTTTCAATCCATTGAATTGATAAAGCACCCACTGGGTAAAATGCCTCCTAATTGACTCTCAAAATCATAATAACACGATTGCAAACAAACCAAGAACAGGTTGGGTTTGAACCTTTGGCCTGGAGTTTTAACTCTCTTGCCATAGGTTCACTCCCCACCCATTCTGTGGTTTGCCTCCTAATTCAGCATCTTAAGTGTTACACATTGGTCATTTTCCACCAAGGTAAGGTGGCCCGAAAAAGAAAAACTTTCATCATTCACTCCATCACTGTCTTGCCAGAGGCATGCTTAGACTACAGCTATAAAACTGCAGCGTTAACACTCCTCCTAATTCAATGTCTTAAATGTTATATTCGTCTTTATTCCACAGTTTGAAGTATTGTCATACCTGTGCTTGTTCTGGTAATTTAAGTATTATAGTATTAATTGAAAAGGCAGCCACACATAAAGACTTTCTTAAGCATTATGTGTGGATTTACGTTAGAATTTCTTATTTTAATTATGATAAGTCAGTCTAAAAAAATCCTTTACATTCATGAAAAAAATTATCATTGATATAAGTTGTTTGCATTTAACTTCATGATAGCAAGGCACAAATCGTTACCGTCAAATTACCACCCAATAAGCCTGACCTCAATTGTGGGCAAGTTACTAGAGTCAGTTATGGCTGAGATTATAAGAAACTGTCTCAATAAGCATAGCTTGATTAATGATACTCGGCATGGATTCACGAGCGGCCGTTCTTGTCTAACTAATTTATTAACTTTCTTCAGTAAAGCTTTTGAGGCTGTTGATCACGATAAAGCGTTTGATATTATTTACTTAGATTTTAGTAAGGCTTTTGATAGAGTTCCGCACCAAAGACTGTTAAAGAAAGTGGCAGCTCATGGCATTGGGGGAAAAGTGCTCTCGTGGATCGAGTCATGGCTCACAGACAGGAAGCAGAGAGTGTCCATAAATGGGGTTAAATCCAAGTGGGGATCTGTAACAAGTGGCATTCCACAGGGATAAGTCTTGGGCCCATTGTTGTTTATAATATACATGTATATCAATGATCTTGATGAGGGAATTACTAGTGAAATGAGCAAATTCGCCGATGACACAAAGATAGGTAGGATAATTGATTCAAACGTAGATATCAGGGAACTTCAGGAGGATTTAGACAAACTCAATATATGGTCAGAAAAGTGGCAGATGCAGTTCAGCGTAGATAAATGCAAGGTTCTGAAGCTCGGGAGTGTCCATAACCCTAGCACTTATAAATTAAATAATGTAGAACTTAGCCATACAGATTGTGAAAAGGACTTGGGGGTTATATGATGAGCAGTAACCTTAAACCAAGACAGTAGTGCCTAAGAGTTCGTAATAGGGCAAATAGATTACAGTGGACCCCCGGTTAACGATATTTTCATTCCAGAAGTATGTTCAGGTGCCAGTACTGACTGAATTTGTTCCCATAAGGAATATTGTGAATTAGATTAGTTCATTTCAGACCCCCAAACATACACGTACAAACGCACTTACATAAATACACTTACACAATTGGTCGCATTGGGAGGTGATCGTTAAGCGGGGGTCCACTGTATTGGGATTTATATCAAGAAGTGTAAGCAACAGAAGTCCAGAGGTTATACTGCAGCTTTATACATCATTAGTAAGGCCTCACCTAGATTATGCAGCTCAGTTCTGGTCTCCATATTACAGAATGGACATAAATTCGTTAGAAAACATTCAGCATAGAATGACTAAATTAATTCATAGCATTAGAAATCTTCCTTATGAAGAAAGATTGAAGACTCTTAAATTACATTCACTTGTTAGACGAAGAATGAGGGGAGACATGATCGAAGTGTATAAGTGGAAGATAGGTATTAATAAAGGGGATATTAATAAGGTCTTGAGGATATCTCTCCAAGAGAGAACCTGCAGTAATGGATTTAAATTAGTCAAGTTTAGATTTAGAAAGGACATAGGAAAGTATTGGTTTGGAAATAGGGTAGTTGATGAGTGGAACAGTCTACCTAGTTGGGTTATTGAGGCTAGGACTTTAGGTAGCTTCAAATTTAGGTTGGATAAATATATGAGTGGGAGGGGTTGGATTTGAGTGGGACTTGCAAATGAGTGGATAGAGTTATCAGACCTTATTTCTTGGGGAGCATTGAACATTGGGTTGGGCAAATGTTTTGTTAGTGGGATGGATTGTAAAGGACCTGCCTAGTATGGGCCAACAGGCCTGCTGCAGTGTTCCTCCTTTCTTATGTTCTCGTCAGTATGTTGTCATTCAAGACACTATAATGCCACATAGGTTAAGAAATTTCTCCTTTTAAAGCCAGTTTCACTATGTATATGTATACAGTTGACCCTTGAACAATATGGGTTTGAATTGCTTAGGTTCACTTATATACAGATTTTTTCAATAAATATATTGGGAAATTTTTTTAGATTTACGACAGTTTGAAAAGCTCGCAGACAAACTGCGTAGCCTAGAAATGTTGAAAAAATTTAGAAAAAGCTAGGTTTGTCATGATTGCATAAAAGATATGTAGACACTAATCTATTTTATCATTTACTACCATTAAATATACACAGATCTATTATAAAAAGTTAAAATTGATCAAAACTTGTGCACAAAAACACAGATCATACATGGCACCATTCACAGTCAAGAGAAATGTAAACAAATGTAAAGATGGAATATTAAATCATAACTACAAGCGAGGATGCATGAACATGATAGGAGTGAATGGAGATGAATGGTTTTTTGGGACCTGACGAGCTGTTGGAGTGTGAGCAGGGTAATATTTTGTGAAGGGATTCAGGGAAACCGGTTAGCCAGACTTGAGTCCTGTAGGTGGGAAGTACAATGACTGCATTTTAAAGGAGTGGCTGTTTGGAGTGACATCCAAACTGTCATATCTGAGTGCCTCTGCAAATACTGATTATGTATGAGTGATGGTGAAAGTGTTGAATGATGATGAAAGTTTTTTCTTTATTTTTGGGTCACACTTCCTCGGTGGGAAATGGCCGACGTGTTAAAAAAAAAAATGCGTAAAATTAACTGTAACAATGTTTCCAATAATGCCAATAATCCTGTATGCCACAAATTTTTTTTATTGATTTATTCATTAGTGTATAGTCTAGGCTACCTTGAAACAGTCATATCGATTACAATAGGCTGCCATAACTCTGTCATATTACTGCTGCTTTTTCACATTATATTTCCATTTTCAATGCCTAGTGTTAGCAATACATATAATATCTACAGTGTTTTGTATCATATAAAACAATACTGATGTTGGTACTGACAGACAGAAAATTCATCTTGTGAACAATATAAACTTATTGTATCGATAAATACAGTACAGTATGTTCTGTAAATGTATTTTCTCTTCCTTATGATTTTCTTAATAACATTTTCTTTTCTCTAGCTTACTTTATTGTAAGAATACAGTATATAATACATACAGCATACAAAATGTGTGTTAATGGACTGTTTATGTTATCGGTAAGGCCTCCAGTCAACAGTAGACTATTAGTAGTTAAGATTTTGGGGAGTCAAAAGTTATATGTGGATTTTCGACCACACAGAAGAGGAAGAGGGGGAGGGAGGGTCGGCACCCCTAACCCCCGCGTTGTTCAGCTGTTTATATACAATACTATATAATGTTTTAAATTAACTGAAAAATATGCAGGAGCAAATATTTAACAGGGCAGGGAATGTAGGTTTTACCTGGAGAGAGTTTCGGGGGTCAACGCCCCCGCGGCCCGGTCTGTGACCAGGCCTGTATGACCAGGTACTGTATGAGCTTTATTTCTAATGTTCCAGTTTATGAATGTGTTAGCTCTGAAGCGATTTTACCTGCAAAAACAAGATTACAATAAAGACTGGTTAATTTTGGAACTGTGGCTTGTTATTTGTAATACTGTACAATAATTTGTTTAATATAACTCAGTATTATAGCACTATTTACTATATTCTTTAAAAAATATTGCAATTTTGTTTACAGAGGCAAGACTTCCAGAGACTTTGACAGGAAGAATTTTGAGTTGCATTTTGAAAATATGTATAGTAAATTATCCATTATCTGGCAATGTATTATTCAACATTTACGGTGGAACCTTGGTTTTCGTTTGCCCTGGTTATTGTCAAATTTGGTTTTCGACTACTTTTTTCGTCAAATTATTGTCCTAGTTTTCGTTTGTCACCTTGGTTTTTGTCGACCGTCCTGAACACGTCCGCCTGCCTGTGCCTGCCCGGACCCACACAAAGCGTCAGTCTGGCTTTGTTTCTCATGGAGTAAACATTACTCTGCGTGTTCATATGAAACATTTCGTAATACAGTGGAACCCCGAGTTTCGAACTTTCTTCGTTCCAGAAGGCTGTTTGAGTGCCGCTACTGAACGAATTTATTCCCATAAGGAATAATGTAAAGTAGATTAGTCCATTTCAGACCCCCAAAAATACACCTTCAAAAGCACTTACAATAATACACTTACATAATTGATCAAGTTGGGAGCAGTTCGAAACTCGGGGTTCCAATGTAATCCATTGTTTTTTGAGCTTGTTTATTGAGTGGGACTGCTAAATAAGCCACCATGGGGGCCAAAGAAAGTGTCCAAGAGAAAGATTTTGAAGGGTTTAAGGCTGACCCTGACAACCCTACGCCTGTTGTGGAATCTCTTGTGGCATTGGAGAAGCCCATGAGGTTGGATGTGAGTGGCCAGGATGTGGAAGAGTTGATGGACGACCACACGGAAGAGCTAACCACTGAAGAGTTGCAAGACCTTCAACTGGAACAGCAACAGATCGCAGCTGAGGAAATTGCTTCAGAGGAAGAGAAAGA